TCTGGGAGTTTACTGGTAAGTAGGCAGGGTTCTACATGTATTATAACATGCAAATTGAATGCAACCTGTTGTGTTGAGCCTCAGGGATGGGTTTCTCTTCAAAACATAACCTTTCTTGAATGAGACAAATTATCTTGACTGCACAGTGCTATTGACCTCACTTTTGGTCTACAAATGGAGAAGATACTTCCCTATATCTGCCACTATGATTTCATGAAATTTCTTTTTGTACCCATTCACAGAATGCAGTTGCTGATCTAGCAGTTACAGCTTTCTTTATGCTCCTTTATGGAGAAAGAAAGACACTGCATGTCATTGATATATGCATCATACAATGACACTTCACTGCACAGCTTCCTAAACCAAATTGTTCAATCCAGAACCCATCACTGCAACATATAAATTTACTTTTCTTTTGAGAAAGCAGATCATTTTGGAAACATTTACCGTAGCTGGTTAGAACCTGAGAGTTTTTCAAAATTTTGTGGTTGTTTTCAATTGCCAACCATCATAATGTATTCGTGTATTTCTACTGTGTATCAGAGGAGAAGTTATAAATAAATAAATAAATAAATAAATTGAAGCTCCCCCTTAGGGGCTTTTCAGCCACAATGTAAACTAAGTGGTTAAAAATCCCCACTGGAAGGAGGCAGACAAGGGGCAACCGAGTATAATCCAGAGAGCGGCAAGGTTGAGGATTTGAACCCGGGACACCGGATTACAACTCCAGCAACCTAACCACTCGGCCACGCCTTTTTGATAAAAGATATCATTTTGCTAAGCAAGTCAAATATATTTTTACAGGTAACCTGACAAACAGACATCGAGAAATTTTCCACAGAAATCCCTTATTTGTTGGCATGAAGTTACCAGAAGTTAAGGAGGTGGAGCCTATTGAGAGACGATTTCACCGAGTGTCGTCTGCTGCCATGGACATTCTTAAGGTGAGTCACGCTTGAATAAAGCTTTAAACACTTCCGGTTTTGTTTTTGTGAAAAATCGTGTTTCTTTGAACTTGTCAATATATGAATGCTGGGGAGCTTAAGCACACACGTCCTTGTGATGTGGACGTGAGCCAAAATCTCAGATGTTAAAACCAGGGCTTTCCAACATAAGGTTAATTCCAAAGCGTGCTGTCTGGATATAAAAAACGTTCTTTCTGAAATTCCCTTGGTACTAAAATTGTTGCTGACGTGCAGTTGAACCTCTGTCGAAGGATACCACTGAACAACGACGTCCTTTTACAACGGCAGACGACAAGCAAAAGAACGGACGCGTGAAAAAAAACGGGGTCAGGCAACCGGTTCCCTTTCTACCTCAACCACCGTGCGTCACTCAGCTGCTCTTTTTCTCGGCTTCTCTGGCTGAGAACCTTGACGTGCTAGCTCTACCAATAGAATTTAAATCTGGAATGTGGACTGATAAACTCATTGTGCATTACTCGTTTTGTTTCGTTAAATTGTATGGATTCCTATTGAGATGTGTTGATTATGTTACGTATTGTACACCAAACGTCATGTTTTACCCTTTGAAAAACTTGGTACATCCCTTCTTCCTTGCAACGCTGCTTCTTCCTAACGCTGCCCCCTCCCCCCCTTGATGTGGCCCTAACGCTACCCCCTCCCCCCCTTGATGTGGCCCTAACAGAGTTGTTTTTCAGTATCCCCTATGTTCAAAGGGACAGTTATTTACTTAAAATTTGATGCGAACAGTGGCTGTTATCGAAGAATACGTCAATTTCCTTTTTTTTTTTTTTTCCAGCTGTGTCTCAAAATGGACCCAGCAGATAGACCAGATTGTTCAAAGCTTCTAAAACATGATTTTTTCAAGAAAGATAATTTTGGGGAGAAGTTTTCTCAAGAACTTAAAGCAAAAATTACCCGAGAGACTGCAGAAAATCCTCTACTGAGATCGTTGAATGGAAGGCATGACTCCAGAGATGAATCTGCAGAAGAAAAAGCAAAGAGGAAAAGGAGAAAGGAGAAGGTAATTGTGATCATTCTCGTTAAATTGATTTATGGTGATTTTTAACTGGAACGACCAACATCAGGAATCTGTATTTTAGGTGGCACTTAGGCCTTTTGTAATTTTACAAGCCATTACTGAAGGGATTATGTTTCAAGTCATGTGTCATGTTGTTAATCGAGTGTAAAGCAAAGGAAAAGGCTACGTTATCGACATCGGTAAAATTATTTAAAATACGGAAAATGAACCATAGGTAAAAATAACCAGTGCGAGTTCATGATATTCGATTATAAATACTTAAAGTCAAATGTAGGTTTGTTACCGATTCTTAACTCTGCATCACCAGACAGGTTGGTAATGTTTGGTCATTACTTTGTTTAATGCCACGAGAGGGTAACGTGAATGCGCCTGATAATACTGACTCCAGTTTTTATGCCAATGGCTGTTGAAGTAGTGTTGTTTTCCGAAACTTTGTGGCAAATGGGAAAGTTAAGCTTCGAAAATTAAGCTGGTGTGGTTACTTTAACCCTTAAACTCCTAACAGTTATTGGCATTCTCCGTCAAGTATCATGGCCAAATCAAACACTTAAGTCCGGAGAATAAAGGAAACGATCCCCACCGTAAGAAGCTCCTGATTCTCTTGGTCACCACTCTGGGAAATTTATAAAGAACGACACAAAGAATACGCAAATTGATGTTAGGACTAAAAGGTGAAGGTGCTCTTAAAACAAGGAGCCTAACTTTGTTTTTACCGCCCAGGAACGTGAAGCAAAAGATCAAAGGGACAAAGAAGCGAGGGAATCCAGGGAGGCGAAGAGATTAGAGACAAGAGAAGTTCTTAAAGAACCTAAGAAGCACAAGGAGTCTAAGGATCACAAGGAGACAACAGGCTTGGAAAAACAGAGCAAGAAGACACTATTACTCCCATCGACATCACAAAGTTCTTCTGTGTTGCAACAAGAGGTAGCAGCGTTACCAATGACAAACCATCAGGTGAATTCACCGTCGCACACTCTGCATGTTACCACGGGAGCCTCCACGTCAAATGTACCGACTTCTTACAGCGGGACATCAGGAGTTACGGGTCCACCCACACCACTCGATACTTTTGTTACCGGTCTTCCTCACGGTAAACAATTGTCTCCTATACAAAGTGCTAGTACACTTAGAAATTCACCGCCTACTCAACAGGAATCGTCCGGGACAACGTTGTCAAAAGGCTCGATGGGGCCAGCTACAACTTCGCTGGGAACGTCGACGAAAGGTGGAAGTTCGCATACAATAAGTTTATCGAAAACAAACATTGGATTGGGTGTGGTTGGACCTCGGCATGAGTCTCCACCTGGGCCACCTCCCTTCAGGTATATAGCTCATTATTAGCAAGAAAATAATTTTGCTCGCGCGCGATTGGTCAAAACGCATCACGTGACCGAATGTCCCCCAATTAAAACTAGGGAATATCCGAGAGTAAACCCCAAATGATATTCCCCGATTGTTAAACCTTACGTCCAATACGGAAAACTCTGCGCTTAAAACTATCTGTACCTCGAAGCTTACAGTTTTCCTCGAGCTTCGTTTTCGGAAAACTTATATTGCATACTGGTTATTTTCGTGCCAAATGGAGGCTACTGTTTATTTGTTTTCTTATTTTATGTCATGTTTGCAAAAACAAAGTCATTGAAGTTGTAACTCATCAGGAGACAAGTTGCAGCGACCACAACCTCGTTCCCGGGGCTTTTCCCTTTTTGAATTTTCCCGCCCGCCAAAATTCGCACGAATTTTGTTAAACCTTGCGTCCTTACGGCTTATTCGTGCGATAAGCCGCTCAGTGTGAACTGTTTCCAAATACGTCGCTAAATTACCTCTCCTCAACAAGTCAATTATTCGCACGAATTCACACCGTGTAAATTCATGCATCTGATCGCAACGAAAAGAATCAGCATATAGCGATTTTGACAAAAATTCACCTTGTTGTACGAGGCGAATTGTCGCTGCGATTTGTTCCTGCGACTTGTCCTTGCAATTTTGTTGTGTACTGGTTATGGGCCGTTATATTACGCTGCCTTAATAATTTATAACCAAAAAATGCGTTATTTTCTTCCTCAGCCATATTGGTATTTTAAAAGCCCTTCAGCCAAATTATTCTAATTAAACAATAGAATGTTTATGTCTCAGAACTAGCGGCTGATAGTTGCCCCGCGGAAATTTGATGTTCTTAAAACAAATATACTAGTTTTAAGGACATCAAATTTCCAAGGGGCAGCTATCAGACCGATAGTTCCGAGACATGAACACTCTATTGTTTTTATTGTTCACCACTAAATTTTCTTCCGCGCCTACAGCTTGTCACAAGTGTTAATAATTCGCAACCGTACATTGGCTAAATATTACGTTATACCTGTCAGAATTGAAAAGTCACTGTTTTTCCGATCTGCCTAACTTCGTGGCCGTCAAACTATTCAAAACTTTTCACGGATGAGTACTATCCATCCGGGTATTTTCCGCGGGCGGACACTTTGGGCTGATAGTGTTTCTCCACGGATGAACACTATCGCGTCACGTGATCGATTTAAACCAATAAGAACCGGAGAAAATTTAGTGGTGAACTATAATCATTTATACGATTTTCATCCACGCAAATAGGAGTAATGGTAGAAGTAGTCATAACTCGCTCTCGTCATTATGGTTAGAGATATTTACTGGTCATTTTTGCAGGGTTGCTAACGACAGCAAAGTGAAGAAGACTCCCCCGTCACACTCTAAAAAGAGCACAGGCCCCCCTCCAAACCACCACAGCACCACGTTATATCCCTCATCCGACTCTTACTATGAGCAAAAAACTTCAAGTAACTTTGATCTCGGCAGCCGACATGGGGAGAGGTCATCAATAGAGTCGAACTATAAAAAGAAACGTGATAAGGACAAGGAAAAAGAAAGGGATCGGCCAAGAGGAGAGAATGAGTTTCCACATCTACCTGATGTGGTGGGAGCAGAGGGTATAAAGCATAAGAACTAGGAAGTGTCCGTAGATTTTTTAGTTTACCATTAGATTCTTCAGATGATACATTCGTTTCTCACGGCTCAGTGATGTTCAGTTTCTCGCCGTTGGAACTTGTACGATAACTTTATCGAAATATTTTTCTGTAAGTAGTTTTAGACTACACCTTGTCTCCTAACTTCTTGTTTTTCGTTGCTTACATAAGAAACCCAAAGTCGACTGAAATACTACGTGATCAAAATATGTTTAAATCCCAAGGATGGATGCAAATGGCCGCAACACTGAAACAACTTTGTGATATTTTTAGCGGACATGAAACATTGGCTGCTGTTTTAATTTCTTTTCTATTTGTTAAGTTCAGTACCTGTGGAAAGATTATCTTTCTAACACTGAGGTTTTTATTCCAATCAATTAGCTAAGAACAGCTTCAAGACTGGTAAAACCTCGAAGAATGCGAAAACTTCCATATCGATGATGCCGCACATTACGAACCTGACTCCATTCCAAAACGGCACATCACAACGACAGGTGAGATTCAGTCATATCGTTAAATGTGGATCTAGGACATAGGAATCAAACTGTTTATTGGTGAAAGTTACCTATTTGTTTTTGTTGTTGTTTTCTTTTTTTTTTTTTTTTAATCATGTTTTGGTGTAATAACCGTACTCAGGAAAACTTGGAGGCGTTGCGTTTTCAAAACTCGTGTCAAGCGGAATACTATCACAGCACAGATTTCATGGTCTAACAATCAAACAAATATTTTTGATTGGACTGAAGGATAACAAACACAATAGCCTCTATTTGGCGGGAGAATATGCTCATATATTTGTCCTTGGACATCTATTCCTCGAAGCTCACTTTTCCTCTAGCTTCACTCTCGGAAATCTGTTCGTATCTCGGAACAATCCGTGCACAAATATCCGCGCATATTTATTGTTTATTTAGACAGTTAAGATCGAGGGATCATACCCTTTTCAGAAAACATTCTCAGTCTCAGAGAATCAGATGACTCTTAATGACTAATAGCATATCCCAGTAAACTTTTGTTTGCTCCAGACGTTATTAAGAGTGATATAGTTATTCGAGGGGATTTAGTCATGGCCCACCGTGTTAGCTATGCTATATCTGCTGTATACAAAATATTCACCACCCATAACTCAACAGCAACAGTAGACACATTGACTCATTTTGTGCCTATTGGTATTCATTTCCGCAGGGTACACCACCCGGATATCACCAGGGGAACAGTCGTGACTCCAATCTTCCGTCCGTATGATACAAGAGAATGCCCGTATGGTGTTCTCATACGAATTGTGATGTAGGCAATGTTATGCCGAGTTAGTAAAATGTAAGTTAAGTTTTATATAATCGTTATTATAGTTTCATTATTAGAATATAATAGCATCTTTCAAGTACTGAAAGTCGATTCAGATTGTTAGAACACTTGTACGGAAAACCAAGCACGTTTTATATATCGTTCAAAGTATTCGTCTGAGATTTATCAATACATATTTTTATTCATACACGGAAAAGAACTTAAATAGCTATAAATTAATTGAACAACGTTCATTGTTAGTGTACTTGCCATACGTAACTTATTCAGAGGAACAGTATACAAGCTTGTACCGTCTCGTATGTACAAGAAACGGTAACAACAATGAAATAAAATATCGCAAAATATCGTGCAAAGGTTTAAGCTTGCCATACGAGCAACAAAGCGTGCGTGTTTCGTGACGATTTAGCTATCATTTTCGTGAGCGATTAATGCATTTGTACTATAGGAAACCTTCCTTAAATCAACAGAGTGTAGGGCTTCAAGCTACGAATAAGGTGTTTTGGACTGGATGAAAGGTTTTACACTGGAGCGTAAAAGAAAAAAATCTCCCCTATGTAAAAACTGAGTCAAAAACTGAAAAATTCCCGTCGTCGTCACCACAACTTGTTTTAAAACCCGCTCCTGCCCTTCTGAGCAATTCCATGCGCTTTTTAGGGCCCTACTTGTACTTGGGCACACAAGTTAGAGCCTTGATCAAGACTTCCACATTTTCCTGTACAACAACGTTCTTTTAATTCCAAGGGTTTAGAACAACTAAATTCCCAGCAAGGGTCGAGGCCAATGATCACTATACAAGCTAAACAAGTGTTAGCATGATTACCTGTGGAGGTTAAATTGTCTAAAATTTGGGGTGCGTGTACGAAACGAGTGCTCGATAATAGGAACAATTATAAAGTAAGAATTTCGCAGTATGCTTATACTTGTCAGTTGTGCATAAGCGTCCACAAATGTTTTAAAAACGTTTTCATAAGACCCCATTTAGGAATTGAACCTCTCGATGATTACACTTGCATATAAAATGAGCTTAAAATTTATTGTACAAAATAGTTACACAGTGACAGATAATTGCAATTCTTTTTTTCTAAAACTGAACGAAAAGACACTGGAAAAGTGAACAGTTAAAACTGTCTCAAAATACATTTTTGCCACGTATCCCTTTCTTTCATTTTTCACATCTCATTTTTAATGCGATCAGTGGACGTTTCCTTCCTAGTAAGATATCTTTGTATTTTCTTGGCTCGATGAGATTCTGAGCGACTTTAATGATCGATGCATTTATCGAATTAAGTCTATTTTTCGAGAAATTTTTGGGATCAATCAATTAAAGAAATCAAGCAATATGATGACTTCCGGATCAATATTTCTTTAACATTAAAGTAAAATCTTTCTAAATAATCTAACCTCACACAGAACTCAAATTAAGTTCGACGAAGCATTGACGCTAAACATCAATGCACTTCCTCTGTCATGAAATAACCTCGGGGGAAGAGGGTGCTGAGTGAGAGAGAACACTACGACTGCCAAGGAGACAAATATCCGTCAACTGAACATGACTTGATCTTGGGTTTTGTGAGTGGCTACCCCATCAGTTACACCGTCAATCGTGTATTGCTAGCTAGGAGAGCTATGGTCTGAGTAATACAACTTTTTGAAACAAGAGATATTTCAGAGAGTCATACATTCACTAATGACAACACAATGAAGTCTAACTATGTTGTTGGCTCCCAGCTGCCATATTTGGCACAAAATTCCTCCATAGCAGCTTGCAGTTTTTCCAGCCGATCCTCAGCAGACTCTCTGTTAAACAAGGGAAACGAATCATTTAGATTTTCGGGAGCAATTAAAATCCACTAAGAAAAACTGAACATGGATTCGATGATACAAAACACAAACACCTTAAAAACAAAAGTCAAATTCTAGAAATCTTTAAAGTAGAAGTATAGCGTATTGTGGATTTAATCCTAGTTTCTATAAACATAGACAAACAACGAGCAATTTCAATGCTACGTTTTTTTTTCTGGATGAAAATATTAGTGTGGGAGGAGAGCTTCAAGGCTTTGGAAATTACTTGCTTTATACTCCTAAAAAGTACAACAATTATCTGGTTTACCATTTCTGTTTTGGAGTATCTTTCCCTATCCTAACCCTTAAAAAGTCAGCCTCAAACTTGGTAACCACCTGCTTTGTCGATAAGGGTAACACTTGCAAGAGGGTTAAAGAAAGGACGCGAAATTACTCAGGGTGGAGGGAGTTGTTTTCAAGTTCACGTTTCCACTACTGATGATGGAAAGATCTCCAGCAGTAAAAAGTACCAAGCCAACAACTTACCGCGCTCTTTGTTCGTCTGCTAATCGCAACACTAGCATTTCGCGAACTTTCCTTTCTTGTTCAAGTTTTGATTGAAGATCCTTTATCTGTTGCTGCTGAAGTTCAAGTTCATTTTCCAATTCAAGCACCTGGCTTCGGGGATCTTCAGCTAAAACAGATTAATGCTCTTCTCATTTCTACTGTCAATAATACACCTTAGTTAATAACTATCTTCTCCCTTTTTAAGGCTGGTGTCTTTACTACCTCCACACAAAACTACCATGATGTCTAGCTGTAGATAAGATTACAATAACCGAGTTCAAACTGCACCCCCACCATGCCCTACCCCTGCCCTACCCCTGCCTTTCCCCTTCCCTACCCCTGCCCTACCCTCCTTACGAAGCACATACCTGTATCATCTTCATTATCAGGATAGCTGATGTCTGGGCCTCTCTGAATCCGGAGGGAGTCAGCATTAAGATCAATCAAATCGCCACTGCACATGAAAACAGACCATATCACTATTCAAAGGCTGCTGTTGACTCTCATGATTTACCATGTAGTCTTGTAAATTGCAAGTGAACTCACAAGTTTTATTAATATTTTGCATTATTTAGGCTGATCATCAGCTATTGGTTACTAGGGCTCTTTTTTTATCATGTTTTTTTCTTCATCAGCTATTGGTTGTTAGGGCCCTTTTTTTTTTATCATGGCACACCTGACAAATCAACGATAAACTTTGCAGCATCATAATTTTGATGCGGCCACATTTACTTGGTTGAAATTCACTTAGCGGTGAGGCCTTATCCCCCCCCCCCCAAAAAAAAACAGAAAAATTGTTAAGTTGAGAACAAATCTTTTGACGATTTTCCACGACCGTCCTCAAAAACTGTTTAACGGGATTTCCCCATAACATAAGCATAATAATAGCGTTGGCCATGCCGCGCCCACGATTTCAAACTTCAATCCTCTGGTTAATACGTGTGAGAATTGTTCAACTGCAAAGACGCAAATTTGGTGTTTGGGCGCTTTATAGCCAGTCAGAGCCTTGACAGAGAAACTGTTTCTAGCCACCTTGAGTAGGTACCATAAAAGTCCATTAACGTAAAGGTTACGGAAAGGACTCATGGCATTTTGAAAGTTCTCTAAGTGAGTGCGATACTGGCGGATCTCCACCCTTCTAAAACAGTGCTTCCCCGCTAATTTCCAAAGTCGCTTTTAGTTCATAATGTAGTAAGTTGGTTTACGGTACCCTGTGGGAGGTCGAGGCGGTTGTACATCTTCAATTTCAGGGAAAAACAATTGATGTTTTCTGATCAAGATACTGATGAGTTCTGTTACTAGGTTTGTACTCTCCATCATGACCTGAGGATCCTCTGACTGAAAAAAACAAAAAACAAACAAAAAAAACAAAAAAAAACAAAAAACACGTGGAATAAATTATTTCACACCTCAAATGCGTATTTAAAAAAAGGAAACCTCTACTTTTTAAACCTTAACACACTAACTTCAGTATTCATATTCTCTACTGTATTCTCTTTTCATTTTGTACGGGATTGATGAGGAGAATTTGTTAGACATAAAAGAACTTCCTCAATCGGTGATCATTTCCTTTTTGTTTCTCATGACTACTACATTTGACTCAAGGTTGGTATTGTAAGGAGAAATTAGAAGCCAGTTACTCCTATAGGTTAAAAGGCTAATGGAGGCAATTTAAAAACTCTTCCTCAGTAATAATTAGAGTATAAGCAATGATATTAAAATAGCAGAACATCAGAATGAAAACTCGTCAAAGTTTTCGAATGGATATCAACAAAACTGGCTAATCTTCTCCCAAAACGATCTCACACTTAAACTTGCTGCTTTGTTTGAGGCATGTGGGAAAATGCATGTTATCTATAAATAATGGTAATTGAACTGAGTGGAGTGCACTTTGGGCCGAAATCATACGCGTGATTTGAAATCACAAGTATGATTTCAGACTAAAATTGCACGACACGAGGTTCAATTACCACTTTATTACATCCATTTTGAAATCGCCCAAATACAGGACTTGATCAATTCAAATATTTTACTGATGCAGTACTCTGGGCCGGGTTGTTCAAAGCTGTGTTAAGATAAACCAGGGTTAGTGTGAAATTTGATTTCAGATCTGAAAGCTCTGAAAGAAAATTCAGCTTAATTCCATTTGTCTACAATTTGATGATTGAATGTCCTAAAAAGAACTAGGAAAATTATCCCAAAATGGCTTTTGATTAGAGAAATTTAGAAACCTGGATTAAAATTTAACCCTGGGTTAGAGCTAATCGGCCTTTGAACAACTGGGCCCTGCTGAGCCGGTTTCTTTGAAAATAATAAGTGGAAATAATAAGTGGAACCGGAAACGCTTTTACATATTATTTTGTATGCAAAACAGAAAGACTGACGTCATGTGTCAAAAACTCAGTCAAGCGTAAAATGATGCGATTTAGAGCAAAAATGGTGCGATTCGTGAATAAATCGCACTAATTAGAACCAATCAGATTACAGGGATCACCAGTGATTTCAAAATGGATGTAATAAATTACATTACATCTCCATAATGATGCTCTCGGACTGCATGGGAATAACCTTGAAACCAACAAACACATTAAGTACTTTTTAAGCTATTTTCCTGCTCCCCTTCTGTTCTGTATTTCCTCAACTGCAGAGGAAGGGGACTGCATGGCAAACGTGGCTGGATTTAAAAGCCAGCATGGGAGAGTAGTCTAGAGCTCTCTATCTGAGAACTGTCTTCCCATAATGGATGGTGAGCACTGCAAGTCTACGCCATTTAATTCTTTTGCCCCTGTTACCTTTGGGGTCTGGTTGTTAATGGTGAGTGATATTCAAGTTATCTAGGCCTGATGCATAACCTGAGATTTGTTTCATGCCAGAGTCATTTCAGGAAAGTTTTTAGAAGCTTTCATGCATAAATTATCTCTTTGCTGTCCACCACAGTGTACAATATGACCATAAACCGAGTGCTTCCAAGCAGTTGAAATAAACTGATTACATTTTTTAATCTTCTGGAAGATTATGTAACTTACCCCTGACCGAAGAATATTTGGTCCAAAGACCATTGCTAGGTTCCTTGGACCCATTTTGTTTTGTTCAGAGTGTTCTTGTACTTCAAATAGAAAGCGACTGATAAAAAAAAAAAAAAAAGATAATGATATATAATGACTGACTTGCTGACTGAAAGAGTATCAAGTGCAGTAGGATAAAAAAAAAACTATGGTATACATATAAGTGGAACACTGTTTAAGTTGGTTGTTACAGCCTAAAAAAGGTAAAAAAATGCACTGTTGCTTTTTTAACAAATATAAAATGTTTAATTGCAAAATGGAGCTGCTCATGGAAAGTGTAGAATTATGTATTTGAATAGAAAATTTCTGTAACAATCCCAATTCCATCAACTGCTAAACTTTTACTTGTGATAATAATATGCAATACTCTGATGTAATACATTGCTTGCTTTTTTATTATACAATTATTAACAAAGTCATGAATATAAGATTTCAAACTCTTCAGTCTATGAAAAGTCTGTTCTTTCAAGACCACTTTTGGGGAACAGGTCCACCCAGATTCTGAAAAAAGTTCCTCTATTTTGTTTTAATCGTGGTTACACTTGTAAAATCTTGGTGGGGAAATTCAGAATATAATATTTTAAAGTTCAAGAAATCTATTTCATCTGTGTTAGCGTATTCTGGGTGAGCAAATTTTTGAATGTTCAACAAATAGTTTGAAGGACTCCTTTCATATGGAACAAAATACCCACTATTTGCTCAATCCTTACAGCCTGTACATTAGACTGCCAAACACATTGCTATGTGATGAAAGCGTAAGGGGAATCTCTGCTACACCAAACTTACCACAAATAGGCTAAAAGATGATAGTTTGGAGCTGGAAGAGTTTTTAGTTGCTTCTGTATTGCAGCGATCCCATCATCAACATATATTTCATAGCCTGGTTGAAAAACAATTCTGAGCATGAGAAAACTTCAAATAAAATGTCAGCAATGTTAGCTTTTGTTGATATCACTGGCTCAGTCTACATCATGCAATTAATAATCATAGTAACCATTGTTTTATTGTAATGTTTCTGTTGAATGTTTTTTCTCACAGAAAATCTAATGCCAGTTATAGGGAACACTAATAATGAAGAAAAAAATTTCAAATTATCTTGAGTGAGTGATGAACCAAAATCAATGAATTCAAGACTTTGACGTGATAAATTTGAATCAAGACAACAAGGCTGTGCTCTGACAAAAATTGGAGGGAGCCCAGTGCTCTGAAACTGTGAAATCCGGGGTGCCCAGCATATGCTTTTTATGAAAAAAACTAAGATTCCTGAGTTGCCCAAGAGCAAAAATGAGGTGCCAGGGGCCATCAGACACTGGACAATATAATGATTTTAGGATATTGGAAAAAAGCCTTACTTGTTACAAGGCTGAAACACCAAACACATTGTAGGTCATAAATATATGTGTACGTAGTGATTGCTTGACTCACATCTTGCTGCTGTTAAGAACACCTCAAAGTAATCATAAGGTATGAGTGGTTCGGGGAGTTCTCTGAAGTATGACTTGAACACTGATGCCACAGAATGAACTTCAGCTTTGTTGCCCTCCAGCTCTGGATTCTCTCCTGTTGACCAGAAAATTACACCTTCAAACAATAAAAAAAATTGTACACAAGGATGTTAGCTTCAAGAATAATACACACACACACACACACACACACACACACACACACACACACACACACACACAGATAGAGACATAATTAACAATTTATAAAGATGACCAAAATCAACCAATGGGGGAACTTCACCCGCACATTGCACTGAGTATTTTTACTCAGTGCAAATCTTAAAATATAGGGTACTGTCTATTTGCTTTGTGGTCTATACTTATCATGTACCTCTATTAAAGGCATCCTTAAGTTCTGCTACATTTTTTGCCTGCCCTGGCAATCTAAATAAACCTTCTTCAGACAAACCTTTGAAAATCAAAAGAAAAAGGTTGGTATGTCATTACTTTTCACATTGATATTATGTATTTATATGTCCATGTAAACAATTATCAATGGTGAAAACAAAAGAAAGTAACTAGGGGCAGGGCAACTTCAAATAAACATTTTTCCCATTCTCTCTTCTTTTGGATTCCCCTCCATTTCTGTCACAGATTCTTCTGATTAAAAATTTATTTTTGAAAAATTTGTCTTTCAAAGAGATCTTATTTTTTCCTTTCAAAATTCCAATTTTGTTTAATATTATGTATGTAGAAATTATCCCAAGACATTCTGCTTGTGAAGCATTCACCAAATGATAATCCCTATAAAATTTTCCATCATGAATGAATGATAAATCAAACAAACATATTGATGTTTAGAGGCCAATAGCCTCAAATTACTCAGAATAACATAATCACTATTTTGTAACACAAAGGGTTCTTGCACTTTTTCAAGAACCCAATTCAAGGACTTTTCAGGACTTTTTAGATCATTTTCAAGGACCTTGGCTCTCAAATTCAAGGCCCTTTTGCATTAAATTGGAGCTAATAGAAATAAAAAAACATTTCTCTTTATTGTTAAATTTCAATAACAAGAGCATGCATGCAGGACTGGCCAAAAAGCCCAATGAGCATGACTTCAAGCATGCACACCAGAGTGATCACATGCTAAGTAACCAAGGTTATTTTCAACGCACCAATCAGGTACAAAATATATGAAAATCACAAGTCAAACATCATAAACCGACACGAGATTTGAAAGGAAAACTCATTTTCATGATTTATGCCAGAAACTTACACTTTCAACATCAAAAACAAAAGAAAACTTCAACTTTGACTCATCTGCACTTATTTTCAAGGACTTTTCAGAAATTTTCAAGGACCTGAGTCTAAATTCAAGGTTTTTCAAGTCCTTGAGAACAAAAAATTACATTCAAGGACTTGCAAGGACTTTCAAGGAGCACGGGAACCCTGAACACACTTTGTACAAATGAAGAGTAACTCAATCGACCTCATCGCCAGAAGAAGATTAGCAGTAAGCAGTTGAAACATTGCCATCCACATCCAAAGTGACCATATCATGAGAGAAACAATAATTATAGTTCTCTTTTGAAAACAAAGCTTAATATTTTGAAGCTGAATGGTTGAAGTATTCTAAAAGGTCAATCTTGATAGCCAATTGCCCTGATTGTAACTACCATTTACAAATATTCATCTTTGAAAACTCCAATCTAAACTTGATGCAAATAATCAACACTCTGTTTGATAAAGTTATGTAATTCTTTTCAACTCAGAACTAGACCCCTTTTTCCTCCTCTTTCCTCAACAAAAGTCATCAGCACCCACTGGAGCTTCAACTTTTCAACCTTAACACATACTTTTTTCTTACCATTTGCTTTGATAAAGTCAACACATTTGGAAACTATAAGAGGGACATATCCTCCACCACGCCTGGCTTCAAACTTGACAGTTTCAGCCAAGCTGCGGCCAAACATTCCACCTCCTACAGGCTGAAGAAGAGCATATCTGTCATTAAGACTTTGTATAAAGCTGCATGTGTCTCACAAAGGTTGAATATGTAAATTACTAACTGTTAACAGTAACTTTAGCTGCTTTGGAACTATAAGGAATTACCTAAAATGTTATCTCATGTGACATAATATCACCCAAACAAGCTAATACATAGTTATTTTTATTAGATGGGTGGGTTGAGGTGCGACAATTTGTGTAGCTGTTATTTTTGTTTTCATGAAAGAAAATAAAAACAACTTTCAAAAGAACAAAAATTTTGCATTACTTTACTTTAACTTAAGAGAAAAAAAGAGAGCTAAAAGCAAATTTGATTTGTATGAATCGTAAAAACACGGGAAGCAATCAGAATGAGGTAATAATGAGCTAAAAATCAGATTCAATAACCTGATCATTAAATAACAATTGATCTTGAAGTACTATGTCATTAACTTAAAGTAATTCAATTACAACTTACAGCATAAATTATCCTGTTTATGGCTTGAATCCATTCATCCATTTCCTGCTGTGAAGATGCAATCAAGAGAAATGTCTCATGGTTACTTGACACTGGGCGCCCTTCCTTGTCTTTACCAGCTGAAAAATATATAATCATTGCACAAAGCATAATGTATGTCAATGACACAATGACAATGAATTCCCAAGAATAATATTACTGGTTGAGAGAGATAACTTGTCTTTGCTTTTAGAGCAGGTGAAATTAACACAATATTTTAGTCACTGTAATGGTAAAATGACCAGAATACCAGATCCCTAAGTAAAAGGAAGAAAAGAAGGATTGAAAAAGGGAAGCAAGGAGATAAGTAGACTGGTTTTTAACTTGTCTACTTCTCCAATACATGAAGGAAGTCATTTAAAGAACTAATGAACTTACAAACAATTTCAAATTTAAATTTTCCAGGCTCTCCAGAATCTGGGGGGTGTCTAATAACCTCATTTCCTGGTAAAGGGATGGCAGCAATGGGTGTCTTTGGTTCCTGTGAATAAAAAGGAAACATACACTTAAGTGACACACATCACTGATCAAAAAAGTGTGACATTTTTATAAAGCAAACATGCTATTTCTGAGAACTCACATGACTATAAATTGTTCCATCCTGCTGTAGCAAGCAACATATTTTTTTATTACACGACTCGGGCAGTCAGAGGGCCAATAACTAAAATCAACCAATCAAAATGCTCTATTGCCGATCCAATATTCTCTAAGTATTGGACCGGGCACTGTCCTGAATGGTCCCGAGTGATACCGCACTTGTGTCCCTTTGAACTTCAGTCGTATAATAAATCTCTTATTAACCAAGCTTCCTTGGGACCGTACTGGAGGAATATTGGCCCTCGGTCTTTTTTGTATGGACCTCGCTGTGCTCGGTCCGTACTGTCAAGACCTCAGGCCAATATTCTCCCAGTACGGCCCTCGCGCTTGGTTAATAAAATATATATATCAAAGTTTAAGTTAAGAGCAAATACTCAATTGATCAAGTGATTGACATGCGCTTTATTATTGACCCTGGATGACACTCCCTTAATAGGTACTATTTTTAAAAATTTTAACCTCTCAACTTTCAGAAGTTATCACCATCCAGCCTCTCCTTGTAATTCCAATATGTTACCCTGCTTTCAGGTTATGAGAACATAAAGCCCTATCAGCTTTGAAGTGTTACCTTGATAAAACAAAGAGTTATCCTGTCTAATGTACAATAAATTTATGGTAGTCAGTTGGGAAATTTATCAGTTGGATGCTGGGAGTTTAAAGGTCAAAATAAATGACAGAGTGCAGTCACTCAAATGATACACTTGACCAAACCTAATCCTTGTGGAAAAGCTTGAAACAGATTTTTTTCAAAATACATTCTGTTGGCAGTGAATAAAGAAATTCTTCTTCACTCCCTCTCCAACTGATACTCACAATACTGGTGCAAAGCACAGCCGCACACGGTCTGGGTACCACATTAAAAAAGTTCAAGGCATTCCTTGCTTCCTCTTTCGATCGTGTTGTGCTATGGTTGACCACATCTTCATTTTATGAATTATTTATTACGTTTTCCTCTACATTTTGTGCTCATCATGACTGATTCTACAGCAAAGAACTTAAGTTGTTTCATTTTCTACGTTTTTAACCTCTTTGACAGAAGATTGCAACTCTTTTAGTGGATTGAGCGAGCTGTTTTCATAGGTTCCTTTTCGCACCAACAATGTTTATATCCCAAAGGCATGTGTCGTTGACCACCTTTACTGTACTTTAGGGCAATGTGAGTAAATCGGCTCCGACTGGAATGGCGGAGGTCGCTTCACCTGCATTGGAGAAGCGTATAGAGAAGTCCATTGCGAAGGCTCTCCCGAGTCTTCTGGTAAAGTTTCTTTCTTCTGGGGGTGTTGTTACATCGCAAGAGCCTTCCAGTAACAGCCTCACAACTGACGCTTCATGCTCCCAATCAGAGGAGGAAACCCCAGGGTCCTCCAATAGGGGTGAACGTTTCTATGCAACAAAAGATGATGTTGAGCTCTCTTCGGAGCTTTTAGACCTCACCACCAAAGCTTTTACAAAGGCCTTGACCAAGGATAAATGGAAGGAGCAGTCAGCCAATTACCCCCAATTAAGGGGGCTGATGGATTCATGCGTGCACCCACCATGAAGGCAGGCATGAAGGAAGAAATCAGGAAAGTACATGGCTATCAGAAGACCAAGGATATTTTTGCCTTTGACGAAGGGCGTGCTGAGCAACAGGGTCCCTTTATTACAGTGGCCAGCCCAACACTGTCAGCATTGATGCTGCTGGACTCACCCCCTGATGAAGACAGGGAAGGTGGACCAGATCCTGATGTCATTCAGGAGATGTTAGAAGATGCTCTTGTCATGCTGGACAATGTGAATGCCCAGCATTCTGGTGGCAGTGTCGCTTCTCTGATTTCCTGATTGATCTGGGGAAACGGACTTTGCATGGGGGCATACCAACAGATAAGGATCTGTTCCCTCACCAGTTTCATGAAAAAATAAAGAGCAAGCTTGATCACAAGGTATCTAACTCCAAACTGATTTGTAAGCCAAAGGAAGGCAACAAACCATTCGGTGGGTCCCAGTCCTTTCGTGACTCCACCTTCAGGAGGGGACAACAGGCTGAAGCAGACAAGAAAAGAATGTGGGCCTACAAGTCAGGTGGCCCAGGTGCTAAGTACAGCAGAGCCAGTGGAGGAGCCAGGCGTGCCTCAGCTTCCAACCAGTTGACTAACAACACCAGCAGCTGACTATCCGTCACCTGCTCATCCCCTCTCCCTCTCAGAGGAATCAGAGAATCGAACGGCAAACCAACTTGGAACTTTCTTGATGAATTGGAACATTCTTACAACAGACAAATGGATCCTTCAAACTGTTTCAGGGTACAAGATACCCTTTTTCAGAGCCCCACGTCAGTGGACAGCTCACCCAACGGTTGTCCAGAAGGGGTGACTGACAGAACTGATGAGAGAGGCCATTTGGTCTCTAATTTCCAAAGGGGCGGTTTCAAAAGTGAATCCTTGCCCGCAGCAGTTCATCTCAACACTCTTTCTGGTGGAGAAAGGACCGGGGACGAGGGAATTCTGCCCTGTGATCAACTTGAAGGCACTGAACAGATTTCTCCCCAAGGAGAAGTTCAAGATGAAGGGGCTCCACAAGGCTCGTTTGCTCCTTCGCAAGGGCGATTACCTGATGAGACTCGACCTCAAGGATGCCTACTTTGCAGTCCCAATCCACCAGGAATTGAGGAAATACCTACACTTCCAGTTTGAGGGAACAACTTTCGAATTCTGTTGCCTCCCATTCAGCCTCTCACTGGCTCCCAGAGTCTTCACCAGACTCCTTCGTCCCATTATAGCGAAACTACGCTCAGAGGGCAGACGTTCAGTAATTTATTTGGACGATCTTCTCCTGATTCCCCATCAGGACACTCTAGTAGAGATCTTCCATTATGTACGGAGGCTCTTGTCCAGCCTGGGTTTCATAGTGGGACTTGAAAAATGCTCTCCAGCCCCCACGCATCACCTAGTTTTCCTGGGGGTCGTATTAGACATGACTCAAGTGTCCGTTGCACTGCCCGAGGAACAGACCCATCAGATTCAGGGAGCACGCCAGGAAATGCTAAAGTCCCAGGCAACATCGCTTGAGGAGCTGTCAAGCTTATTAGGCCGCATGAGCCATGCAGCCTGGTCAGGTCTATGGGTGGCACTGCTTCATTACAGAGCCTTACAACAGCAGCGGGCCCTATTTCTCCACTGTCTAAGATGGAGGCTGTAGTGTTGGATACCACTGTCTCATCCTTCCCTGGAAGACCTAACAATTTGGTGGACATCTCCAGTGCCACCCTCTTGCAACAGCCAGGACATCATCTCTCCTCCCTTCGACCTCACCATCAGAACCGATGCATCCCTGCAGGGGTGGAGTGCAACCTGGCAGGGTAGAGCAACCGGGGACTGCTGGAGTGTGGAAGAGGCAGATCAGCACATAAATTGCCTGGAACTCAAGGCAGCAATTCTTGCCTTCAAGTCATTCCTGGGGGAAGGAACTCAGTTACTACTCCAGGGTCTGGGCCAACTTTGCCCTCATCAAATTCTTCTGGAAATGGAGAACACCACGGCAGTTACTTATGTGAACAGAAGGGGGGCACTTGGTCACTGACCCTGTTTCTACTAGCCTTGGAACTGTTGTCCTTCCTGCTGACAAGAGGTTCCTGGCTAACAGCCTGTCACTTACCAGGAGTGTTGAACGTGGAAGTGGATACAGCCTCCAGGAAATTCAATGCCCACACGGAGTGGATGCTTCAACAGGATGTCTTCAGAGACATAACCCAACATTTTTATGTTCCGGAGATAGATCTCTTTGCATCGCACTTGAACCACCAGGTGCCTCTGTATGTGTCCCAACTTCCAGATCCAGGAGCTTGATGATGATGATGATGATGACATCTTTATTATTATAGATCAAACTAAACACTTGCAGACATACGTGCAAGTTTACAACGGATCTCTACAAACATTAAACTAAATAAAATTAAAAAGAGACCTATTTATAAAACAGCGCTTAAAATGCTCTGTGCGAACACACAGCAACGTATACTCATGACCATGCTGGCGTAAAGGACGTGCACGTTTGCTCGGAAGGAGATCTGCCAAACAATGTGCATTTACATGTGTGAAGTTCTCCCACAATTGCTTATCCCTAGTTAAAATTGCATTGTTGATGGATATGCGATCCTTGGTGTAACCATATTTCCATGCTCACTTACAGAATTTATCAATCTTAGAAGGTATTTACAACCATAAGCACATGCCCATACCTCAATTGCGTATGTAAATACAGACATAATTAAGATATGAAATAAGATTGTAAGTTCCTCTAAAAGTGTACACATATTAATTACAAATCCTAAGGATATAGAGTCTTGAATTAGCCTTATCCATCATATTGTGAAAATGACTATCCCAGCTGCAGGGATTTTCATGAAAGGTTACTCCCAATAATTTAAGTTCATTCTTTCTTTCAATCATAGGTACAGTTGCTGGAGGGGTTTTTTGGGTCTTTCCTCTCATTACTAACTCCCATGTTTTGGTCAAATTTAGCTTCATACGATTCATACCTGACCAAAGCTTAATGTTTTTAATTTCACTGACTGATGAGTCATCAGGCAAATTTGACCCAATTGGAATGCTCAGGGTGATGTCATCTGCATACTTAATGAGCAGATTTGTTTCTGGATTCACAGCATTTATGTCATTAACCATTATGGAGAATACCACTGGGACTAGGACAGTCCCCTCTGGAACACCCCTGCCAACTGCAGTGAACTTTGTTGTAACACCATCAACTACGACTCTCTGTTTACGGTCAATCAAGAAATTAGTTATCCAGTTAATAACATAAGGGTTAATATCATATGATTTTAGCTTATTACATACAATCTGATGAGGAACAATATCAAAAGCTTTACTAAAATCAAAAGAATACACCTTAACAAAGTCTGCATCTTTATCCAACCATTTTAACCAGAAATGTTGACATTTAAGAAGTGCTAATGTAGTATTTTGTCCCCTCTTGTAGGCAAACTGATTAGGCCCAATAGATGACTGCACAGTAGGAAATATTTCTTGTTTGTAAATGACTCTTTTAAAAGTTCTCATGATTACATTTGTAAGTGATATGGTTCTCAATTGACCACATTCACTTAATGGGGATACCTTGGGAATAGGTGTGACATTGGCCAATTTCCATAAACAAGGAACTTTTTGCCGTTTAATTGAATTATTGAAAATTTTCGTTATTATGGGAGTTAAATAGTCAGCACAGTCACACCAGAACCAATAAGGAATCCCATCAAGTCCAGAAGATGTACGTGTTTGGTGCCTCAGGAGGTTCCAAACTGAAAGCAAGGAAACCTCAGGGACATATGTACCATCTGGTATCTCAAGAGGCTCCGGCACCACATATGCATCATCGGTATTTATAGACTGAAAGTATGCATTAATATCATCAGGATTAATTACTTTGCTAACCAAGGTACTTGAGTTTTCCTACCAGTAATTTTATTAGCCGTGTCCCACCATCCTTTAGACCCCTGTGGTGTTTCCTGTTTTCGTCACGAACAGCATTTATTTGATTTTTGCGAATCAGGTCATTGATTTTCTCTCGGCGAGTAGCTCTCATAACATCGCTGTCTGTTCTTGCTTTCTCATTTTGGATCTTACAAAGGTGCTTTACAAGTGGTGACATGTAAGGTGGGTCTCTCGAGGATAACTTGACTATTATCAAGGGAAAGGAGTCATCATACATTTCCCATAGTTTCTGACTCAACAGTTCAACACTCTCATCAAGGTCAGCCAGGGACCAGAGCTTAAAACACTCCAGTCGTATCCCTCAAGCCTTAAGTCCATCGCAATTTTACAGTGTTCATGGGTGTCAGCTTCAGCAGTGGTTGCTTCCCAATTAGACTGGAGTCAATGGAAGACTTTCATCCATCCCCTAGTGGTACTCTTGTCCCGAATTCTTCAGAAAGTGAGAAGCGACAAAGCAACTGCCCTACTGGTTGCCCTGAACTGGCCAGGGCAGCCATGGTATGCTCAGATCCAGCTGATGCTGACGGAGGTACCATACACACTTCCCAACAAGAAGTCACTGCTGTTCCTACCTTTCGATCCGGAGGCAGTTCATCCCATGTGGCAGTCACTCAACCTGACTGTCTGGCCGATTTCGGGACAGCCTATCATGCAGTTGGTTTCCCTGAAGAGGTGACTAATATCCTTCTGGCATCGTGGTCCCAGTCCATCAAAAAGGGTTACCGGGGTCCTTGGCGAGCAGGGTCCCAATGGTGTCCTTCCAGAGACTTGTGTCCCTTCTCAGCTCCAGTTACAGACGTCTTGACTTTCTTGACAGGACTCTCAACTAGTCAGTCTTTAGAATATAGGACGCTGGGAGTGTATAAGTCTGCAATTTCACAAGGGCATCTAACAGTTCGCCAGACTAGACTTGGAGATCTTCCAGTGGTGTCTCGTTTTATGAAGGGTATTTTTTGCATGAAGCCACCCACTCCTCGAGTGAGCTCAACCTGGGATGTGAAATACTTGCTTGAGTTTCTCACAACCTTGCATCCTCTAAGTGGTCTTACCCTGAAGCATTTATCCCTCAAGTTTGCTGCCCTACTGGCATTGACTTCTTCAGCTTGGGTACACGAGTTGGTCAAGCTGGATCTGAACTTTGTATCCATAAAGAATGACTCCTGGGAGTTCACCTTAGCCAAACACACGAAGGTTTCGAGGCCTGGTCACTCTCCAAGACAAATATATATTTGTCTGCCTACCCAAACAACCCAAGATTTATGTGGTTCTGACTTTACAGGAATATCATTCCAGGATTGAGACAAGAAGGACTTCTTCTCGCCTTCTTATCTCTTTTGTTAAGCCTTTTAAACCAATCACAAGTCAAACTATGTCAAGGTGGCTAGGGAAAGCCATGCAGCTAGGAGGGATTGTTTCCCACTTCACGAGTCATTCCACTTTGAGTGCTTCTACTTCTGCCGCAGCCCATGTGGGAATCTATTCTATTGGCAGCAGACTGGTTGTCTTTGGAGATATTTAAGCAATTTTACCAGAGATCGCCCGACAAAGGGGAATTTGCAAGAGTAGTACTTTCTGCTTTGCCTGATTAACTGTCAGAGGAACTTTCATGCAGTTCATTGTTGTTGTTTTATCTTAGGGACACGCTATTCAGTAGTTTACCTGGCCTGGTTGGTGTGGGTTCTTAGGTCTTCCAGACAATGTTTCCCTATCGCCCTTCAGTGTCATGACAGAGTTTGTTTAAAAACTGTGCAGATCGCTAGAGCTCCCCTACTTGTGGGGGATTTTTTACTGGAGCCTAGTTTTCTGTTGGATTTACAGTACTCCTCGTGTCATAGTTAGCTGAACAGTTATCAAAGCTGGTTCATGTTCACAGGATACTCATGCCAGTAATCCTTATAGTCTGCACCAGTATTGTGAGTATCAGTTGGAAAGGGAGTGAAGAAGAAATTATACTTCCCAGAGGGAAGGTACTTACCTGACGGGGAGATGTAGTTTTTTGAACTTCCTTGCAGACTGATACGAACAATACTGTTCCCCAACCTGAGTTGGATCATTCTCCTCCCATCCCTGTTACTCATGACCTTTGCACTACTCTCTCAGAGGAAGTAAGGAATGCCTTGAATTTTTTTTAATGTGGTACCCAGACTGCGTGCGGCCGCACTCTGCACCAGTATTGCTTGTATCACTCTCTGAGGAAGTTCGAAGAATTACACCTCCCCATCAGGTAAGTACCTTCCCTCCAGGGAAATATCATTTCTCCATAAGAAATGTATAGAGAAAAGTACTGAGAACTTGCATGCTGATGTAAAGGGTCATGCTTTACTTTCTTTAAACACTGTGTGCTACATATATGTACAAATATAACCAACTTCAAAATAATAGCTTTATGAAAATCAGATGGTTCACTGTATACTTACATTATTGTCTCTGAAATAATACAGCTGATCTCCTTTCAGTTCAAACCATCTTGATCTCAAGTTTCTGTACCTGCCACCTTGCTTGCGCAGCCAGCCACAGTGTTCCTACAAACAACATTTTAAGCAATTCCTTTCCTTGTTTAATATACCAAGAACTACATAATATGCACCCTGTGAAAAGTTGTTGCCTAAACAATCAGTCAGAATTACAGATGTACAGTTCACCTTATTAGATAAGTTGTTTTGTCTAACAAGGTGCATAGTTTTGAAAAAGTAGATAATGCCTATGGACCTCCCCCACAATGTTTCTTTTCCAGACCCCCAACAGTTTTGCTCTTCTGATCTTTGAACTTCTTCACTGACTGACTGCTGACCATAGGCTCACATAACAACAACAATATACCTTACTTTGATGATCACATCAAGACAAAATTTCTGCCCATTCATTTCTATTATTTTCCCTTTCAAGGTGGAGAGGACCTACCGCATAAATTTTTTAAACTAAAGAGTATCATGGAAGAACCCAAACCACTCAGGTCAGTGCCTAGATTTCTAAAAAAGAGAAAACCTCTTGTGGAGTGCCATAGGGTTCTGTTTTGGGTCCTTTATTGTTTCTGATTTATTATAATGATATTTACAATGCTTCAAACAAGCTAGGATTCTACCTATTCGCTGATACAAATCGGTTATATGCTGATAAGAATTTAAAATCACTTGAATCTGTTGTAAATGTGGAGCTACTTAATGTCTGTGACTGGCTAAGCATTAGTAAACTCTCCTTAAATATAAAGAAAACTAATTTTGTTATCTTTCATCCATACCAAAAATGCTTAGATTATGAAGTTAAACTTAATATGTATGGCAACCAAAGTAATAGACTGATAAGAATAGAACGTAAATCATATGTTAAGTACTTAGGGGTACTAATGGTTAGTAATCTCTGTTGGAAATATCATATCGGCCACATCGCATCAAAGATCAGTAGTCATATAGGTATAATATCTAGATTAAGGCATTTCACTCCCTTCGTGACTTTGTTTAATATATATAGATCTCTTATTCTTCCATATATCTCCTATGGACTTACTGCCTGGGGACAGGCAGCCAAAATGCACCTAAACAAGATACTCCATCTTCAAAAACATGTAGTCCGCTTGATGAATTTCTCTAAGTTTAATGTTCACACTGTTCCACTTTTTATCTCTACCAATATTCTGCCTTTACCTTTAATCTACTTTAAAAATGGCTCTATCTTAATGCACATGTGATGTCTATAACAAAGTTGTGCCATCTAACATTTCTGCTCTCTTTAGACCAATTAACCCATTAATGGCTGCAGCTTTTGTGGAAAACTGTGTTTTGAAGCTAGTCGAGCAGATTTCGGGTCACTGTTGTGGTTTTAAAAGCTCAAACTTACCAAAAAGCGCTTGACAGCTCGTGCACTCGACGGCCTTTCAATCCAAATGCAAAATGGTGGCCTGAAAATCTCGGGCACGCGCAGAGAGCAAAATTTCGACATAGTTTTGGGGTTGAAAAGTCATGCCCCACTTACGACTTTTACTTTTCTCTCTTTCTCCTGACCTTTTTTTCCCCTCTCCTTGCCTAAAGTTTCTCCTCACTTGCTGGAAATTGAGGAGGCTTCATTTTGGTGTCGAGATTTTTCAGAAACTACTCATTATTTTCAAAGCACATGCTCGGAAAGGTAGGTGGGTAGTGAAACACGATTTTCGTGCAGATTTTCAGGTCAAAGTGACACGGTTTTTTGGCTATTTCTCCAATCTCCTCCACTCAATTGCGCTCATTCTGGTATCGTCTGTAAGATATTTTCAACCTGTTCAAGTAGGTGCTCGAATTCGTGCTCCAGGG